AATGTTATTAGTTTTCCCAGCTTGATTGAGTAAGGAATTATTATTGCCAAGCGATGGTATTATCTTGTCAAGCGGTGGAACCGTCATAACTCAATTTTCAAGACTCTATCAGGCAATGGTATCGCAAGATTGGGCAATGGTACCACCCAGTGTCAGAGTGTTAAGCGGTGGTACCGCCTAGTACTAGTGGTGGTACTGCCAGTATCCCGGAAACCCGGGATGAGACACCTTTTTGCTCCAATTTTGAAGTCATTGGGGCCTATAAATATCCCACCCTTTTCTGCATGAAAGGGTATCAAAGTGATATCTAAGTATAGAAAAATCTTTAAGTGTTGGGGTGTAAAAAGTGTTGTAAAAGTGCAGGAGTCCTTCTCCTCTTTCTCTTTAGCTTTGTAATCATCCAAGAAGAGGTATGAGGCTTGTAAGAGTTATATCCTAAACCCGTGAAAAGGAAAAAGCGTTGTAAAGAGGTGGTTGGTCTTCACCTATTGAAGGAAGATGATTAGTAGACACTAGTGACCTCGACGGAGGAGGAATCGGAAGTGGATGTAGGTCACAACAACCGAACCACTATAAATTCTAGTGTGTTCTTTCCTTACTGCTTATTCTCTTTATTGCATTTTGCTTTACTTCATTGCAAACTGTCCAATCCCGTCTTCTCTACTCACTTGCAAACTTATTCGAGTCAAACTAATGATTTTCGTCGAACTTAGAATTTCGTCGAACGAAGTTTTTCGAAATCATTGAAATTTATTGTCGCGCCCCCCCCCCCCCCCCCACTCTTAGTGTCATTCTTGATCCTAACAACTACCGCCCAGTCTAGTGGTACCACTATTTGACACACTGACACTAGGTGGTACCACCACCTGGTTTTGACATTTTCAAATCATAGGCGATTTAACATATCCTTGTTTCACCAAATGGGCCTTCCACTTGGCCCAAAATAGTTTTAACTCAAGCCCAATGGGCCCCTAATTGAGTTAGTAGAGTTCCTCCCAAACCAACTCAATTACAATCACAACTACTTCAATCAAAACACAATCAATTACAAATAGAATACTATGTTGTCCAGCATGTCATTGGTTCATCCGACGCTTTGTTCGATTCATTCGATGCATCGTCCTCTCTTGCTCGTATTGCCCAATTGGCATGTTGATCTCCGCAACATCCGATCTCCATGGCATAATGTTCGATCCTTCTAGTCCGATGCTCATGGCACGAAGCTTTCTACCGACACGTCGACCAATCCTTTGGCTCGACGTCCAATCTCCTGACATATATTGGCCTAACATCTAATTTCACTACTTTAATTGATTTGACTTTCCCTGATTGAAGCTAGTCCTATGTCACTCAAAACATAGATTAGATCGTTAACTTCATCAATTGATTTCATCATCAAAATCTGATATTCAACAATTGATGTCCTACAAGCCAATCATGTGAGTGATGGCACGTGTGACATAAAACGTAGTCTTTTTGCTTATTATGATATTTTCTTACTTTATATTGATTTATGCATAAATATATTATGATGTCCATAGATCTGTGCAATGGGAATCGAATCGTGATGCGATCACAATAATGATACCGATTCACCCATCCATATGATGGAGGCTGTTGGTCTTATAGCTACTCATGTAGGGACACTAGGGCTATCGTGTAGGTGCTCATTGGAGAATGAGTTCACTGATTGATTCGCTCACGGAATACTGGATGATTAATGATACCTCATTGTCTGACAGCAATTCTGCCATCCTAAGTGATGTAGCTAGTCCTTAGACTTGGGACACCAAGGATATCCTATATAAGTACTTTGCTCTTTGATACCAAACTTATAGGTTTGGAAGTTCCAAATCTAGTATAACCAATCATCGGGTATGGTAGCGAAACTTATAAGGACTATTGAGTATCGATATAGGATCATATGCTCTCAGTATTATGAGAATAATATCCCATGTGTTCTTGCTTAGACAAATCCTTGGCTAAGGTTATTCAGATTGAGAGAGAAAGAGTTCTCTAGGAGAATCTAATTAGAATGAGACTCGAGGAGAAATCGTATGGGCCTGATAGCACCATTCTCGATATATGGTCTCTAGGATATTAGATGGATTAGGGACTCTAGGTACATGATAACTGATGACAGATAGGTCCAAATAATTGGATTCCCTTATATCTGCTAGGGACTACTATGTAGTGGCGTAATACATCCGCAGTCGATGAGTTAAGTTAATTATTATGGATATAATAATTTACTAAGTCAAAAGGAGTTCTGACATGTATGATTCACAGCCAGCTCAATATTAGGCTTAGAGGGTTATATACATATAGTAGGTGTTACGACGAGTAGAGGTTCAGATATAAGATATCCACTAGAGCCCCTATCTTATTGGATATCCAATAAGCCCCTGAATTATTGGATCATATGAATAAGATCCAATAAGAGCCAATGAGAGATTATTAGATAGAGATCCACTAATCTAAGATGCTTGGTTAATTGGATGGAGATCCAATACCTAATAGGGCATGATCCATTAGGGTTAAGTTGACATGAGACTTCTATAAATAAGAGAGAACCAAAGGGCCATAGGCTAGACTTCTTGGTTGCCACCTCCTATTCTCCTCTCCCCTTCTCTTCCTCAAATAGCAAGTGTGGAGATTTGGGCAACAATTTGAAGAGCATCTTTACAGTCCCTACCATGTGGATCACTACTAGAGAGGAGGACGCTTGACCTCTTTCACCCTCTCCCACAAATCTATAGGAATTTAGGGATATACGATCTCCCTAGATAACATAACTATCTCACATGAGGTTTTCAGTTTTACAGATTTTTATGCACTAATCATCGCACAATGATGAACACCTTTTGGAAAATTTAAGAATTTTATTTTATGTTCTTCGGCTATACATGTGATATCACCCCTAGATTTCCCTACAAACAATACCACCACTTGACATTGGGCGGTACCACGGCTGATCCTATGGTACCATCATCGAGTTTTTTAAAAAAGTACAATTCATACTTTCCAACTCACAAGCAGTACCATCACCTAGCCTAACGGTGCTACCGCTCGACCCAACCTCATGTCACTAAATTAGTCTTTCAATTGGCCCAATTCAATCCGATTCAGACCTAATAGGCTCCTAATTAAATTGACATAGTTACACTCAAAATCAACTCGATTAGACACTTAAACTACTTTGATGAAAACACAACATTTATAATCATAAAACCTACATTGTCCGCTTGTCTTTAGTTCATTTGGCACTTCGTCCGAACTTCCGACATATCGTCCTTTTTTCGGTGTATTGCCCGATCCATTGACATGTTGATCTCGCATAATATTCGATCTTCTTGGCGCAATGCTTGATCTCTGACATGAAGAACTCTGACTCAACATCTAATTCTCCTGCTTCAATTGATTTACCTTTCTATGATCGAAGTTTGTTTTGCATTACTTTTATTAAACGCTCATTAGTTTATAAACTCATCAATTGATTTCATCGAAATCCGAGATACTGCAATGCTTTTGTCCTATCATGGCTTTATCTTAATAATTTTGAAAACTTTAAAAGTATTTTGTACGTTGATATCATTGATGATAATGATGAAAAGTTATTTTTGATATCTTCCTTGAGTAAATATTTGAGATTGAGACCTTAAATAGTTGAACAGGTTTGCTTGAGTTGAATGATATGTTTCCATAAGGGTAAATATTATTTTCACTTACATCAAATATATTATTTTTTTATTATGATGTTATGACATATGGATAGGTGAGCTTTTTAGAGCTCCATGATTAATTAATTATCATTATAAAAAAGAGATTATCAAACCTCATGTTTTCATGATTAAATCAATTAATAAATTTTAAAAACTAACTTTATATTGAGATAAATTATATAGGATATACTTGAACTAAGAGAATGAATCATCAAAGGATCAATTATCAAATGAGAGAATTGACATTGAGTTAAGCTGGATGAATAGTCGATGTCAGAGCTTTGATAGACAATTAAATCATGATTAGGCTGCTAATGGGCTAAAAATGTGCTTTTACTAGGCTAACTAGAAGGGAGGTTATAGCAGATATGAAGTGGGTTGGGAATGGGCTCTTATTGGGCAATTTCATTAGATCGGGCAGTAGCACCATTTAGGCCAGGCGAGGTATCATATTGTGTCAGCAGATGGTGGCATTGTTAGTACTCATATTCTTTTTGTACTTTTTTTTTATAATTTTGCTCCATATTTTCTAAGATCTCTCGGGCCTATAAATATCCCTTCAAGCTTTGCTGGTGGTGATATTAGCTCTTGAGTGTTAAAATTCTCTCCCAAAATCCTTGTTTGAGTTCATTCTGTTTTCTTGAATTTGAGTTGTACTATTTAAGTCATTAAAAGTGTAAAACATTTGTAAAAGTGTAAGGTTTAGTATTATATTTTTAAAAAACAAATTATAAATATTAATTAATCTTCCCGTTCAAAGTAAGATTAATAGTGAAAACAGGTAAGGTGGATGTAGATAAAAAAATCAAACCAAAATTAACTGGTATTTACATCCTTCCTCACTTACATATTTGAATTAGTTTTTGTATACTTGTTTATATTACATATTTGCTTCATTATACGATTTAGATTTTATCATGAACTCAATGTTGTATACATGCTAGTGGATGTGAGTATCATTTCAACAATTTTTTGTCAAGGTACTAAAATCCTTAGAAACATAAGCTTTATAGCTCGATTATGTCAACTCGATTATGTCAATGTTCGGAATTTCTATTAATTTTTTGGTCAATGGGGGTGATAGGAGCTAAGTGATTCATGAGAAAATGAATTCATGACAAGATTAATCGATTGTGGATCGCCAATAGTTTCTCCCTTCCTGTTCACCATCCCCTGAAGTTGATGTGTACTCCGTGCATCTTAAAAACGTATGATATTTTGGGAGGATACTCTCACGGAGGTAAAGCCGAATAACAGTGTCCAACCTGGAAACTCAGGTTAGCAATAATCTACGGGTAGAAGAGGGTACCAGATGACATCACTGTTGGGATTGAAAGAAGTAAATCAGATTATATTTCCGCAGGCCTGTCAGTGCCCAAGAGCCAGAGGAAGCTAGAGAAAGCAAGGCGAAGGCCCAACATTCAGCCTCCTACAGCACTTCCAGCTATGCTCTACTCATCAGTCCACCAACCGGCTCTACGGGACACAGCTGCAAACCCATAGCGGTTGCACGATGCTACCGCCGCCGCCTTACGGACGTCAGTAAGTTTTGAGCAATTGGAAGTGACCAAAACACCATTCCCTCAATCCTCGCGAGAAGTTCATCAGGGAATAATTCTCAAACGCAAATTCGCAAGACTGGCAAAAAAAAAAGAATAAAGAAAATGTCTTATATAGTGGCAATTCTCAAAAAAAATATTTGCACAGAGGGAAGACTGGTGCTGTCTCACAAGCAGAAGGATACTCCTCGAAGCATTATGTTCGGTATACCTTAAGCGGTATAGTCACCATCGCCATCTGTGAACAGGGAACCCAAGTTTCAGTCGACAAACCAATGCAACCTTAATTATAATTAATAGCTACACTCACCCATGGCCTTGGAGTTCTAAGATCAGATTTACGGTACAGTTTAGATAGCTGAGATTGGAAACTCACAGTAATCGAGACATGGAACTCAATAGAAAATGACCTGCATATAGATTTGCAAAACTACTTAACATTTTACATGCATGGAAACTTCACATGGCAGCACCTAATTTCAATCTTAGTAATCTCTCCAAGGACTTTAGAGATTGCTGTTACTTTTCAAGCAAGATGATATCGTAGGGTGAAAACAGTAGGTACCGACTTGGGAGCATATAGAAGCATGTATAGGTGTTACATTGATCTAAAGCAAAGAAACCAATGATGTTTGCTATTTAATGTATCAAACGGGAGTATAACTAAAACAAGTCAAAGTGATTACCCAGCAAACAAGGTGGGGCATACCAACAAACGGGGAAGTAGGACGTAGATAGGCAAAGTTAGAGATCGACAAATATCTCCATCTGCTATCTGAGTAACAACGATGTTTGTCACTATAAAATATAGTTGATATAAGCACCCCATAACAGTGTGACATATCATACCTGAGTAGTCTGGATCACTGATGTGTCAGTGACAAACCTCTCCCCAGAGAGAATAGATTCAACACGAAGTAACTGTATATCAACAGAGTCTATAGGAACTGCAGATGCTTCAACGGTTAGGTCACCAGTAATAGGATCCTTCAGAGAACACTGGGTTAAAATTTTCCCTGTGACCCGAAAACAACCTGCTAAAGATGATTAGCCCATCATTATAGTTGTATGATGTTGACCAAGGACTACCTTGAATAAATAACAAAGTTCTACTACGGGCATTTCGGATTCAATTACTTAACACCAAATTGCTATCAGCATGAACTTCAATCTAAAGACACCATGAAAATTGAAATGGACCTGTAAGCAGTTCAGGAAGCAATTGATGCTTTTGAGTGTCCTGTGTTATGTAAAAGCTAACAAATTCCAGCAACTGAGGTGACGTGATTAGATTGGCTGCAAATATCATTTAAAGAGTTATATCTATGCAATAAAAGACTTTGTTATAAAAGAACTGATTGAGAAATAAAACAAATTATAGGATATTTAGTCAATACCTCTATCATTTTCAACTATGAACTCCAATGCAGCAGATAAAGATTTATGTAGGTAACCTCTCATTACATCTGCTGTTATAAGATACTATTGAAAGAACAATTAGAAAATAACAATCTAATACATTGTATGAATATTAAATAAGAACCATTAGTTATCCTATATAAAAAAATGCAACTAGCAAATTGAAGTTATTATCATTTGCCATGCACAAATTTCAAAAACATGGTCATTGTTCTCGAACATAAAGTCCTTGGTAGCACATATGCAGTGTGGCTGTAAACATGAGCACATATGCAACTTATGTAAAATACCATTGCCCATTACCATTACAGGTACATAATTCCTGGTATGATTATTGAAAGGGGAGGTTCTTTAGATATCAAAACTTTTGGAATGATTATTGTCCATTGTTCAAAATTGTTGGTTTGATGTGGTTGACTTACATTCCTCTTTTGATTGTTTTCATCAAGATCTTAGAAGAGTTAGGAGGGAGTTATCCTTCTGAAATAAGCATAAAATAGGAAGGATTGAGGAAAATTTGTCTAATACTTATGATGAGATTTTGAGTTTGGAGAAAGATGTGGGGGAGCATAACTTGGAATTATCAGAAGAATATGAGACTTACAGCTGAGTTTGAGAACACATTTACATTTTTAATGTGCATTTGGAGAAGGGAACTTGAGTAAATGTGCAGTTGTGGGATGCTTTGTGTTTGATAAACAATAGATGAAAACTGTATCTTAAATGTGCATGGACATAAGTGTTGTTTGATAAAACTATGTTTCAAAAGTGCATTGAATGTTATGTGACAAATTTACCCTTCTAATATTTTGAATAATTATTCAAATATAAAATACATTTTTATTTAAATTAATATGTAAATAAAATAAATAAATAAATAAATGTAATCTTACAAAAAAATTTAATATGACTTAGATATATAATAAATGAATAATATAATCATATAAATAAATATAAATAATCTTTAAAAATAAATAAATAAAATTTCACCTTATAGAAGACATAAATAAGTTAGTTTCCCACTAAATCATATTAGTAAAATTGTGATTTTGGATAATATCATAAGGTACTTTGAAAATCTAAAATATTATATTAGTTTCCTGTCAATACTGAAATGTTAATGCTACCCTGAGGTAGCATCAATATTTGGGCATTTGCAATACAGCAACCAGGCCAAATGCAACTTGAAAAAATTTTACTAAGCACCAAATCACATTTGAAATGTACATTGAGCCTTTAATGGACATTTCAAATGTTTTCTTAAAAGCACCTAACATGTCTTTACAATAAATATCAAGCTTCAACTAGGCAAATTAGTCTAAAATGGTGGGATAAGGCCATGCCTGAGTGGCTTAATGAAGGGGATAAAAAAACCAAATATTACCATAACTTCGTAGTCATGAGAAGAAAACTCCTGATTACCAACCCTAAGGTTAACAACTGAGGTAGTGTCAGATTCAAACTCCATTAATAAGGCTTTTGTGGATTTTTATCAAACTTTATGGTGTGCTAAAGGTAGAAACAATTCATGTTTTTATTCTCGGCCTAACCTTTCTATCATTAATATTACTTCCAACAACCAGTTGATTAAACATTTCATGGTTTTCACCTATGAGGAGGTGTGGGCTTCTTTAAAATCTATGGGTTGGGGTGGTAAAAGCCCGGGCCCAAATGCTTTTACAGTTAAATTCTTTAAAACCCATTGGGATAGAATCATTGAATCTTTTATAAATCATTTCCATAAATATGCTTATCTTCCTAATGAATGAGCTAAGACCTTTCATATTTTTATCCCCAAATGTGCCAATTCAAAAGAGATTAAAGATTATAGCCCCATTTCCCTATGTAATTTGGCTTATAGAATTCTTGCTAAAGTCTTAGCCAATCATATTAAACCTTTTCTGGATACTATTACATCTAAAGTGTAGCATGCTTTCATTGTCTGGAGGTGTATACACAAAAGTTTCCTCGTGGCATAGAAAATTGCTCATGCCATGTATGAGTTGAGAGGAAAAAACCTTAACATCATCATCAAAATAGATCTTGAAAAGGTTTATGATAAGATCTGTTAGGATGTCATCATTAAATGTCTCAATTTGTATCATTTTCCTATAGTCTTCATTGATTGGATAATGGCATGTACCTCTTATAGTAGTTTTGCTTGCTTAATCAATGGCTCGCCATCTTCCTTTTTAAAGTAGGAGAGGTCTTCGTCAAGGGAATATCCTTTTGTCATGCCTATTCATCTTGGTTGCACAATATTTATCTAATTTATCACATGAGGTTGTTGATCTTAATATGGTGTCTTCTTTCCACATCAAAGGCTCTTTCAAAATATATCAGCTCATGTACGCTGATGATATCTCATGTATGCTAATGATATCTTGTTGTGTTTTAAGGAAAATAGAAAGTCATGTATGAATATTAGTAAAGTCTTTCATGAATTTGAGAGGATGACTAATCTTAAAATCAATGTCCAAAAATTTGAAATTAATTTTCCAAAGAATACTAGTAGAACTATTAAAAGAGAAATATGTCAAATTTTTAATATTCATGAAGGTAATTTTCCTTTTAAATATTTGGGTACTATGGTCTTCCCTAGAAAACTACCTCTTTCAGCTCATGAGGACATCGTTAATCAGGTCCGAGGTAAACTCATCAACTGGAACAGCAAGACCTTGTCTTAAGCGGGCAAAGTGACCCTTTATTAATGCTGTCATCATTGTTGTTCCAATACATTATGTGAGTGTCGTGTTGATGCCTTAAAGATTATTAATAAGATTAATCATATTGTGAGAGACTTTCTATGGGGGAAAGGGTGTAACAGTAGAGGCCTGCATCTTGTCACTTGAGATAAGATCACTTGTAGCAAGAGAGATGGGGGATTAGGAATCAAGGACCTCAACTAGACAAAGTTTGCACTTCAAAAAAGGAGGATTAAGAATATTTTTAAGTTGTGAGCCCAATGTTTGGACTAGTGTGGTCTTGGCTAAATATCAATTTTATTCTTTGTGGAACTTCCAATGGCCCAAAAGGACCAGTTGAAGTTGGAGGTTGTTCTTGAGAGCCATGGAGAGATTAAGAACAGGTTTTACTAAACTTGTTGGTGATAACAAATCTATTGATCCTTATCAGAATAGCTGGTTATTTGATATATTTTTAAGTTAGCCCTTGTGATGACAAATGGATTTGAAAGGCTAATCCTAGAGGAGTGGTTTCTACTTATTCTGCTTACAGATTCTTCCTTGGAATTGATGCTAGTGAGATTTTGGATGGGGTTCTACAACCATTCCTAGGGTATTGATCCATTGTTGGAAATTAGTACATTGTTGCCTTCCTACTTCTCGACAATTGGCCAAGTAGGGTTTAAGATGTGCTTCTAACTGCTACTCATATGGGCTTGGATGGTGATTATATTGATCATTTATATTTTAGATGACCTGTTGTGATGCAGGTATGTGAACACTGTAAACATAAGTTAAATATTTTTTTTTTTTCAATAATTGGAGGGATGGTGTTGAATCTCGGATTTTGATAATGAAACTAATTGATTGTGTTTAGGTGTTTAATTGCATTTTGAGTGATGCAGGTCTACTCGATCAGGATTAGACAGTTGACGCAGGAGGAATTGACGTTGCGCCGGAGGAGATCACGTCAGGATATTGGATGCCAGAAGGCTTCGGACGTCGGGCATCGGACCAAGGAGAGCGGAATTGCGCCAAGGATATCGGGGTTGCGGAGGTCAACCGCCGATTAGGCAACAAGCCGCAAAAGAGGACGATGCGCAGAAGAATCAGACGAAGCGCCAACCAATGACGTGCCGGGCAACAGAATGTCAATTCGCGTTGTAATAATTGTCTAGATCGAAGTAGAGTTTTGGCTTGTGTGTGCAGGATTAACTATGATAACGATGAAGACATAAAGCGAAACAAAGTGCTAGAGTCAAGCGCGAAGGATTCGTTGGGAGCTCGAGAGTTCGACGAAAGTCCGAAGGTTCGTCGGGAATGCTACCGGAACTAGCCGAGAATGAGTAGGGAGCTTGCCGAAGGGTTTTTTGGAAGCTCGCCGGAAGGTTCGTGGGAAGTTCGCGGAGCTCGCTGAGAAAGATCGGAGCTTGCCGAAGAAGCTCATTGGAACTCGCCAAGATCAAATCATGAAGTCTAGGAGCTTGCCGGGAGTCCGCAGAATGGTTTCCGAGAGTTTATCGGAAGACCGCCGGAAGTTCGCCGGAAGCTCGCCGGAAGAAGTCTTGACTTACGGACTTTGTAATAGCTTAGGAAATATCTTTAAATTCGTAGTTAGCACGTTAATTAGGGTTAGGATTAGGTGTTAATCCTATAACCCAAGTAGGGGCTAATTGGGCCGGAGTTCGGACTGGTTTGGGCAAAGTTTGGAGCCCAACCAGTGAGCTGAAATAGTGTAGGCGGTGGCACCGCCTAGAACCCGAAAACTGAGCGGTGGCACCGCCCAGCACCCGAGAGGTCCGGCGGTGGCACCGCTGGACTGGGCGGTGGCACCGCCAGTACACTGTCAGTGTCAGACACTAACAGGCGGTGGCACCGCCAGCCTCGGAAACCCAAGAGAATTCAAATTGGAGCCCAAATTTGAATCCTCTTTGGGCCTTTAAATACCCCTCAATTCTCAACTGAGATTACAACCTTTAAGAAGCAAGAGATTGAGATAAAAATCTTAGCAAAGTCTTTAGCAAGTTTTTGTTTTCAATAGCTTGAGTGTTCACCTCTCTCTTTCTCTTTGAAAATTTGTAAGAGTGTGAACCACTTGTAAAAGGTTGTAAGAGGGGTATTTGTCCTTCCCCTTCAAAGTGATTTGCTAGTGGAAGTTGGGAGCCTCATTGGAGAAGACTTCGCAAGTGGATATAGGTCATTTTGACCAAACCACTTTAAATTGGTGCATTTCTTGAATGTGTGAGTTCTTACTTTCCTGAAATTGTTATTTACACTACTGCTAGTTTTCGGTTTTCATCTACTCAAGTTACTATCGAAACGAAATCTCCTCGTATTTACGAACTCGGTTTTAAACTTACGAGTTTTAATCCGCTGCAC